AAAATTCAAAATCTGTTTCAAAAAATCTAAAAAAGTGTGTTAATGTAACATTCAATAAATACAGAAATGACAACAGTGATATTTAAAAAATAAGTGAACAATCTAATATGGCAATATTTCAACGAAGTCTTAGGGGCAATGAATGATTCTTTTGGCTAAGAAGTCTCGATGAAGGGTATTATCATTATTATCTCATTAGATGTATTGAAGTTTACAAATGATTAAAGATGGAAATTTGAATAGGAGCAGTTCATATCAGATTATGACTCAGAGGTGAGAGGTAAAGGAAGAAGAGGGGGATTGTTGTAGAAAGCATACAATGTGTTGAGGGAAACTTCTGCTTGACAGAAATTTGCTCGGAAAATTAAAGGAAGGATGAGAAGGAAACGAAAATGAAAGGATTGAGATTTCGGCGACAAATGTATTTTTCTTAAAAATTATTTTATTTCCAAAACTAATTACATTCTCAAAGATGCAAAATACCTGTTCATAATATGTTTCGAGCATATGTAAACTTCTAATTTGCATTTAAAAAAAACTGAGATTGTATAGAAATTTGTTTATGCTAAAGAAGATTTATTTTCAATTAGAATGAATTGAAAGAAATTGGAGATGAATGAAACGAGAGCTAACAGAAATATCTATGAGACAGGTAGATATGTTATGGCTATATTATAAACTTAAATGTAGGAAGCTACAAAGTTAGTAGTAGTTAATCAAATGATTTCTTTTTTTATGGCTAGAAAAAAAAAACTTTTTTCTATACCTTTCATTTGATTGAAAGAGAAATAGAACAGATGCAAATTTGCAGAGAATAGAAAAACTTAAGTGAAATAAGGTAGTATTATTACAAGTAGGATCATACGATAGCTATTTTCATCTTCCATTTTATTCCCATTGGTAGTGAAGAAGCGTATGAATCAGAGAAGGTGAGATTCATTTAAAATTAACTGACATCACTTCTACTCTCTACCATTTGATAGGAAATTAAATTGAAGTATGCACTAACCAAGCAGATGTGTCATAGCAGCCCAGGAAATCGATCTAATTCAACGCCTTTTTTTTTTCAAAATAGCTTGTAAATAAGCTGGGACGATCTGCTATGTTTTTTTAACTATTATTTTCGATTGTTCAAATGCACTGAAACACACCAATATCGGAAAAACATTATGAAGCATTTCCGCTGTGTAAAAATATTAAATTTCCTGAAATAATAACTTTAATTTCCAAAATAAAACAAAACCTGTACCAACTTCACTTCTTATGCTTTACATCAAATTTACTAATTTCAACAAATTCACATTTCTAGTGACATCGCTTTTGTTAATTATTTTGTCAGTTTTATGAGTGAAAAGAAATAATTGGCTATTAATTTCATCATTCAAGGATATGCAAATCATCCTTATTAACAGTCCCATACTCTTCCACGATAGCTTTTTACGAGATAAGGCAGAAAGAGGTTAGCATGACTCAGCATTGAAACAATGAATTAAGTGTAAATATTTCTTCCTATAACTCAGTGTCAATAGTTGTTCTAGAGATAATTTATAAAATAAATCACTTTCAGGCACTGTTTCCAAACTCCAATTGATTTGTCAAACTCTCAAGGAGGAGAGGAAAAAGATGGCAAATATCAATAAATACTTTATCTGTTCTGTATTTTGATTTTAATATAATCTGGCAGGTTCAATAGATTCAAGACTTCAGCCAGGTGCTAAAATATCCGTATTTGATGCATCAAATAACAAACATATCGTTATTACAATGGTTTGCAACCATTTAATTAAGCAATTTTTGATTCCAAATTTAAGTCCATTACTTTTATTTTTAATGATCACTTCCACACTTCCTCCCGTGTTTAAATCCTCACAAGCAACATGTAAAATAAATCAATGTCTCTTCTGTAATCAGAATGATTATTACGGAGAGTAATAACTCCTGAGAATATTTCCAGGAAGAGCTTCTATTAGATGGTACCTGCAAGGCACCTTAAATATTAGTCTCATGTCAATTAAGTGAAATGAAAGGACTGCAATGTCATCTGGCTATATTTTGGTACATAGTCGAGCAAAAACTATACCTTATATCGTAATAAAGTTTTGTTTAATGTTTGCATTGATCAATTAGTCTATTCAATTTTCCCAGTTCCATCAAATTTAAATAATATCCCATTAACTTACATTGTTGGCTTCCTGAATGATTTGCTACATTTTGTGAAGTCTGTAAAAGGAACTTTCATTCGTGCACTTTTTATCGTAACAAAAATCCTCTCAACCATACAAATGCTTTACTCTCCTGAGAAGCAAAAAAGAAAAGAATGATCAGTGTTGCATCCGATTTAATAGTACAGACAATACAGGTGCTGATGTCATTTACAGTAAAAATATAACACTATAATAAAAGTTGAGCTTGTAACTATAAGCTTTTCACAAAGTTTACAGGAAACATTCACAATTGATATTGGTGATTTTCAAATGTAATTTTATCTTACTGATATCATTGAATTATCGATCACATATATCAATTTATATATATGCGAGTAAATAAGCAAATGACAAACAATATCTTCACATTATCAACATTTTAGTAAGATCATTATTACTTAAAAATTGCTAACAAATGCATTCACGTTATTTACTAAATCCGTGCAAATTAATCATTGTTATAGAAATGAGTGAAACATGGAAGTGAGGAATAGCAGTTGAAGGATTCACGATGGATTAGATTGATTCCGGTTTTAGCTTCTCCATATTTCTTAGTTATACTGGAATCTAAATTGAATTGAAGTAACAGTCACACATTGCACAGTGGCTAATTTTCAGCTTTCATCATTAATGCTTACATTTACTCGTTTCGATGAACATCTGGAAAATTATTGAAATGTCTCTCTGACTCGCTTTTATTTAGTTATACATTAATTATTTTATAATTCAAAACGTTTGTCTGCTATGATGGCAACAAAACACATGATTTTAGTGGCGCTTATTGTTCAGGTTGAGCGGCTTTGGTTGGGTTCACTTTTCGCTCAGATTTTATTTCCCTTCCGCACCTTCCCGTAAACTGAAAAGTTGGTATTTTGCGGCTGGAAGAAAGATAACCGATGGGAAGGTAATTTTGAGGAGTAAAGCTGATGAGATATCAATGGGACTCCCGGGGCTGTTACTCACGCGGAGTGTTTAAATGAGTGGATGGCTAATGTTAGCATTTTTGCTATGCTCTATTATTGTCTCTTGTAGTTTTAATTGGATGAGTCAAATTCGAAATTTATAAGATTTGTTTATATAAATTTCAGGAATTGAAATGTTTCCTCATGGGTTAATTCAGCGGATATATTATCGTCGAATTATGAGAATTAGCAATATTCGATATCGAAATTTAGTAACAGAAGAGACGAGTATTGCATCAGTTTCCAAGACGGTACTACCCGATGATTATACCATTGCAAATGTTGGTGATACCGATGTACCTCGACATCGTAAGAAAGTAATAAGTCGTGCATTGGAAGCTTATCTCAATGATGTTAGAAGACAGAATAAAATCATGGCCCGAGAAAAGGCAGAATTCGAGCTCGGAAAACGATATTTGGCCAATATGTTGGGGCTGGAAGCGAATAGCATCACCCAGGATGACATTGACAGGTAAACCAGAATGACTATTTATTTGCACTAACAAAATATGCTGAAGTATTTAGCTAACTTCAAATACAACATTATGCATGAGATGTATTATTCAGGGCGATCGAGTATCTCTTTCCATCTGGTCTAACACACAAGTTGGCATTACCGGTAATGAAGCCACCCGAGGAAATTTTACCAGTGTTTCGTCAAATTGCATTTGATGATGAAGGCCGTCCAAAGGATTTACTGTTTTTCACACTTACGCCTAAGTTTTATCGACTTCTTTCGGTGGGTTTGTTTTCTTCCTTAAAAAGAATTAATCTGACAAGGAGTTGTACAGTGGATTTCCTCTATTTTAGACTGTTGGTACAAAGACGGAAGCATTATTGTGCCATCAAGAGAAACAAGAAGCGGCCACAGAGGGTGATTCGAAGACGCATAAAATGTCTGGTTTGCATTTAATTATGATAAGCTATATGTCGGTGTATTCTTGTACAGCATTCTCATTCATAATTTTTGTTTCAGAGATTTGCTAGGCACGGAATGGATCACTCAACAAATGCTTTGTGACAAAATGGAAGAGAAAATTACCGATGAAATGGTTGTTTTTCGAAATTTTAGAATTTTAGTACTGCAGTCTTTGATTTATTATTGATTTACATATTGTTTTAAAAGTAATTGTTTAGAATATTAAAGGTAGTAAATGAGATTGAATAAAAAGTTTTTTTACTTGAGAAGTTTTTGTAGCATTGTCCACGATAAATTGTGTGCATTTATTTCAGTATGTACATCTAATTGCTTCACTGGATTATATGGTTTCGCTTCCTGGTGCATATAAAGAGCGAGATTTCATTTTCGAATACAGAAAACCTATAGCTGTTGGGGCTAAGGACGTTATTTTCGGTGCAAAAGTAAGTCTAAAATATAGTGGAAACAGAAGAGAATGAATCTATATGTATCAGAACAATAATACAGATGGGCTAAAGACTGATTTGGTGGGCAAAAATTTTTTATCTTTAAAAAGGAACACCATTATTGTATGATTTAAAAATCATCTGTTTTCCTGTTTTTATTTTCATTTAACAACTCTTTATTTTTTCTTATTCAGGTACCACCTGTCCAATTAGTGGAAGGTACCAATCAACGGATGGCGAAAGTGGAAACTCGTTTGAAAGCAACATTTGCTGAAGTTGAAGTACGAGACAAAGGAAGTGGCGAATATACAGTTGACGGATATGGTCTCGATGTGTTCCGATCCTTACAAGCTAGGTCATAGTTAATCCAGGTTTTGCAAAGTATGGATCGGCAAATTTTCAAAAGTTTCTCCTATTTCCTTAAAAAATCAGTAGCGTGGCTACAGCCCTCTAGAGTAATTTTTACCCAATAACATGAAATTAGATTTTGTTCTTTAGGGAAATATTCCTGGCACCGTTAATAGTGACAGATTTACTGGGAAAACTGGATATCACGGGTAAAATTACGGATGGCCCTGGCGGTGCTTCTGTCATACCTAGGATCATACGACATGGCGCTTCCTTATGTATCGCTGCATTATTTCCTGAACACTTCGATAAACTTCGTCTTGGTATTCTTTTATTATCAGTAGTTAATGAATAAAGAAGCGAGTGGAAACTGTTTAAGGCTATCTTGCTTGTTATGCCTTAATGATATATTTGCAAATTGATTTACTTAAGACTCTAACTTATAGCTGGTCTATTAACGTCTGATCCAAGAAGACGTGAGCGACACAAGATCAATCAAAAGGGTGCTCGAGCTAAATGGATTTGGTATCTTTTATTTTTCAAACTTTTTCATCGCACTCCGTCTATAGGTAGATACATATGTGTGCTTATCCGCCAAGACTGATTTGTTTTAATGCAGTTCTTTCCACTTTATAATGGTCTTTACTTTTCCTGGTCTTTTGATGTTCATCCATACTTCAACGATGTAACTGCGTTTTCTTGAGGATAACAGTCTTTTAGTCTTGCAGTTCCAATTTCTTAAAGTTATTCTTCTTTCTAATCTTCTGTTATAATTTTTAAGAACTTGAAAGTATTTGTTTTATATCGACGGAATTTAAATTCATTAAGTGAATAGTTAATGAAACTGTTAGGCTGTTTGATTGAAAGAGCAGTGTTTCGTTGAAAAGATTTCAAGCTTTATTATTTTAAATGAAATGCCATCAAACTTGATGCTCATAAAATGGAAAGCGTTATGGAAAGCGCTTTTTTACTCTGCACGTGCATCGCGGAATTTTGGAATAAAAAATTTCCAGTTTTAGTATAATATTTATTTTATGAAGTCCTGAATATCGCTCGTACATCTATTTTTCAAAATGATATATTCACGTCATTCTGTGGGTAATGTCTCTCAGAATGAACAAGTTTGAAAATCGATCTTATGTCTGCTTAAACAGTGTTAAAAAAATAGAAACTGTAGAGTTAAAACGATGCGTTGAAATAGGTCAAAATATTCCCAATAACTAATATACAAAAAAAGCTATGCAAATGCTGTGCTCATCAATTGATAATTTTTTTCCGAAAATTCACGATGCTGCAGGGATGATCCATTGTGAGGAAGAAGTCAAGATCATTTCTGTCGTGTCGTTCATGAAATGTTCTATAACTAAAGTTGACATTTGGCAGGGAATAAACTAATTGTGATATCGTGACGAAATTTCTGTTTGCTTACGTCTGAGTTATCACATTATTTTAAATTCGGTGTGAACATAATTTAGTAAGTGTGATATTATAAGCATCATACTATTTTGCAAAATAATATATTGGTTACATTACTTATGAGAAATTTTGTAGCACTCCAAATGTCAGACGGAAAACTTCGCAAAAAAGCACTATTAAAAAATGTAGGGTCTGCATAAATCAAATTTTTTGTATCATTTGGTCTGCATATAAAAATTGAATTGAATCCCATATTCGAATAAATGTTTATTGTATTCATATGCTAATTCAATTGCCATGTTAGTAATTATTGATTTACACTGATCGTATAATGTTGCAGGAAAAAGCGATAATCAAATGGTCATATTTTGGAATATATGGCCGCAAGTAAGGATAATTAGAATGGTCGGCGGAACTATTTGATGAAATTCTTGGGCTTGGGAAATTATAATTAATGAAGAAAGAAATAAATGAGATTTCCTATTGGGCTAATGATTAGAGTGGATGAATGAAAAGATGACCAAGTAAGGAAGGGGTTTTGTAAGGTGGGGAGGGAGAAAGCAAAAATTAGAAACTCTGTAATGTTGGTAATAGCATGTGGTTGAACATTGTGAATAGTTCTTTTCTCTGGCCGACTGAAGAAACAAAAGGAAGACAGCTGGCTAGTAATAGCTACCCTTCCACTTCTGCATGGGTTGGGTGTATGTGTTGTAGTAGGTGATGGCCTGTGAAGGGATGCCCTGTGGTGACACCTCGTGCAAGGCACCAACACATCGCTCAAGGAGCAGTCTAACACTGATTTTTCGTCTCTCCTCGTTCCAAGCCATCATCATTGAATTGCTGCTGTAGCTGCACACCTTCTTGAGCGAATACAGCTGCAGTTTAGGTTGGACGACGATGGATTGAGCCGATCAGCATACGTCTCCCCTTGAAATTTGAGTGCAGCGCATATCCTTTCCCCTCTAATCATTTCACCTCTTCATCCAACCCTTTTCTTGCATTAACTGGAAGCGGATGGTACCTCCTGGTACCAATTCATCATATGGTTGGTATGTATCTGTCTTCTCTTCCTGTCATTATGTGTGTATATGTGTGTGTGCGTGTGTGTATGTGTGTGCCTGTAAACTTCGTCATGACGTTGAAATAAATGTGGGTGTGTGTTATTTAATGTATCTACGCGCAAAATTTTTAATGCTACGGCCAGTAATTTTGCAAAAGTTGTAGAAAATAGAAACTTTTTTTTTATTTTTATATTTTTTTGCAGCACATTTTTAGACTGATTGATCTTTTGATAAATTGAGGATAGCGAAATGGGGTTAAGCATGTTAAACCTCTTACACTTGCTCTCGGTTGGATGTGTTTTTTGACTCACTCCTCATTTAATTCACTCTTTTTTTGCTTTTTTTCTTTTTCGCTTATTGTATTGTCAGTAATGATCCTTTATTTCTCAGCGAAATGGATTAAGTATTATCCTGCTACATTAGGCTTCTCTTGTAAATTAAGGATGTGTTACTGATTGTTTACATTCTATTATAGAGTGTCCTTCAGATAATGCGGCACGTCAAAACAATATATTTATGGAATGTATCTGTATAAGTGAATATTTACTGATGGACTGTTGAGCTCCATTCTGCTCTCTCTCTATTTATCATTGTTGTTCTAGGTCGGTTTCTATGTAAATACGGCTGCTTTCATATTCCCTATTTATATATGTATCAATTATTTGATATTGTTCTTGTGTTTTTTTTTTAAGTAATAAAATCTATTCGTTTTGGATCAAATGCATCATCCATTGTTATTTGATTGTTATTTGATTACAGTTGGTGATGGGAAGTTGGAATAATTACCACAAACCTTGAAAGTAGTTATGAAGGACAAATTTACAAAAACAGAATACAGTTTTGAGATATGTAAAATGAGCACTTTTTCCTTCTTATCATCCATTATTATATGCACAGGATCATTCCCTGTAAATGAAATTATCATTCAAAGATCTTCCACTTGATTTCATTATCTTCACACTGGCACAACATTGTTATAATCATTTTCGGTTCAAGCTGATCGTTCTTTTATGATGTTTGTTTTTGGAATATTTGCTGTCGTGAGGTGATAATCTGATCATTCGTGGTAGGACAAGAAAAGCTGTGTGCGGTCTTTATGATCCTTTTTATTCCGCTGAATGAATTAGTTCATTTATACCTGTTAAATTGAAACAAATAAAAAAACCGGATCAAGATCCAGCGCTAACACTTCAAATGCATAATTAACATGCTAATATAGTGGAATGCTCCGTATTGGTATGGGATACACTGAGTATTTAAGCCAAACCATGAGAATAAAATTGAAAAGTTTAAATACAATGAGTTAAAAATTTCAGATTACTTCTGCTCTCTAATCCTTTATTTAATTTTTTTGATATTTTGAAGGTTAACAATTAGTTATTTTTGTATGAGGCAAAACGCTTTAAGCTGATACAGCCTTGAAAAAAAAAATTGCATGGATTGAACATAGAATGCAGAGTATTTCGTTGAAGGTCATGGTTCAACGCAATATGAATTGTATTGTCTTTCCTTCAACAACCTAAGTACAGTTGTGTCCAATGCTTCTGTGTGTCTGTGTGTATTTGTCCATATTAATTTTATTTTCTTATTTTCCTTCCATATTTCATGTTTTTTAACCGCTCCGGAATTGGCATGCTTCCGTAATACAGTTAAATTTATTAGCAAAGATTAGATTGAAAAAAGATGGCTCTAAATATTATTTCAATATCATAAAGTAAGCTTTTAAAAAAATAGCTCTAAAGCTATTTTATGCCAATTCCGGAATGGTTGAAAAACATGAAATAATAAAATAGCTCTAAAGCTATTTTATGCCAATTCCGGAATGGTTGAAAAACATGAAATAATAATTAAGTAAGACACTAGCAATGATAATATCATAAAGTAAGCTTTTAACAGAAATGATCCATTCGTTAGTCAAAAGCATTTCTGTATACTTCAATCAGCAGACCTTGTTGAATATGTTCAATGAAAAATCTTGAATTATTGACATGTCTTTTAATGCCAATCATAAAATATTGTCATACATTCTTCAATGCTAACATTTCACACTTTCCAAGAAATGAAGATTATATGAGGCTGGAAATAGATAGCTTAACCCCGCAGCATTCGGTATGTTTAAATGGGAAGGCATAAACTGTTGTACGTGCAGAACTTTCCGGTTCCTTTCTTCATCATTTCATTTTTTTTTTTCAACTGTGTTGTAACCATCAACTTCCCCTCCCTTTCCTCCCCGCCCTCCCCTCCTCGGAAGCAGAACACATTTCACCTTCCCGTTTCTACTACTGCTACACTCTGATAACTATAATCATTTTTTTTTTTGTTTTCATTTCACATGTTAAAATTATTTATTTGAAAATTTGTCTCAATATGAAATGGTCACTTCATCTCTATCCAACGGTCAGCATGTGATACATTTTTGTAATTTTCACATACTTCCAATCATTACTTTACTGTAATACTCTTCTATTAATTGTTTAACTTCATTAGTTTAGAGTATCGCAGACTATTTTATTTTTTATCTTCTTGAAATTTCACTCTTCCACTAATTTACTTCCTTACATTCAATTCTCATTTTTAAGATTGGTCAATAATTTTAAATTTATTTTACAAACGAAGCTAGCATTCATCAATTAAACTTATCGTTAGCAAATAATGAAGGTATCTTTTTCTGGGTTTAAAAATTATCATATCATATGTCATTGATTTTATTTACACTTAACGTCTGCAAAAAGCTTTTGAACTGTCTGTAAATTTTAAACAATTCTCTTTCACTCTGCCAAACCCTCACTATTTCTTGGCTCTTCCAACTTTTTTTAATAATAGTTTCAGTGAAGAAAAAAAAAGAAAAAGGAAAGGAAAAAACGATAACTATTTATTCGTACTCAAAGCGTAGCAATAAGTGTAGGAAACTAATTATTGATGAGATCTTTTACTTGTGCTTTTCTTTTCGAATCAAAGTTCGAAGTGTGCAGGAAGAGTGAAAGTCATGGTGCCCTTTTTTTCCGCTCAACTTAAGTACATTTAGCGCTTCTTGATTTGTTGCTTTGCAGTCGAATTGTCACAATTTGCGGCTGTAACTATCAAGTACATTCTTTCTTTTTGTTATTTTACTTGACGTTTTATAGCATGGAGAATTAGTGATAATGCTTAGCATCACTCTAAGGCTTCGATCATCTAGCTTGATCTGGCTTGGACTGATAGTAACATAGGAAAGGGAGGAATAGTAGCTATTTCAAAACTGTGACTAAGGACATGGTTATAAACC